GCGGGGGAGGCCTGTCGTCTGTAGCGGTGGCTTGGCGGCTAATCGACTCCACTCTTCCATCCCTTCCCCGAGGCCTTGGGGTGGGACAGGGCCGTGCCTGAGGCACACCTGGCTCCTGGCTGAGAGATGCATGTGGAACCAGGCTTGTCTCCACCCAAGTCTCCTTCCCCTCACCCCATGCAGGCGCCTTCGCTTTGCTAGACAGAGCTCAGCCGCCAACAGCTCCCGGGTCAGGGAAAGGCGCCGTCTCTCCGCTCCACAGGCACCTGGACCCGGTTTCTGTCCTACGTGCCCCGGATCCAGGAATCAGCCCCGCTGCCTTCAGGCACTGGCGCCAAGCCCCTTCCTGAAAAGGAGGACCTCTGGCACCCAAAGGCTGGGGGAGGCCCTAACGCCCCCGGACCTTCACCTGTCCTGCCGGCTGCTCCTGCTGGTCCTATCGCTCCCCTCCTCCTCAGAGCCACTCAAGTCATCTTTGGCCTCCTCCCAGTCTTTGTAGGAGGAGACTTTGGACTTCTTCTTGTCCTCCGTGTCTTCCTTCTCCTCGCGCTCCCTGCGCTTCTGGGCAGCAAGCAAGTCCAGCCCCAGCAGGGAGGTGCGGGGGGCCGGAGCTTTGAAGACATGCTGCTCGTTGCAGGCACTTTTCTTCTTGATGATCAAGCCTCCAACCTGGGACTCCAGGTCTGTCCCTTCCAGCCGGTGCAGCGAAGTGTCCTCAGAGACATCCTCCATCGCTAGGGTCCTGTGGCCCGGGGCTCTCTGGAAGGCACACAATCAGGCACTGGGATGAGCCGACTCTTGAGGGGCTCCTAAGGAACTAACAAGAGAGGAGGCAAGGCACATACACGGGGCTCCCTGAACTGCTCGGCCCACAGAAAAGCAAGCCCCTCGCTGCCACGGGAGACATGAGGCCGGAGCGTCTGCTGGGAGGGGCTGATCCACCACCCGTCTCTGCAGTCAAAGCCCCAAGACGCTCCTGGGAACATTGACAGTCAGGCTGACACCTAGGAGCTTTGCAAGGCCAAAGCCCAGAGAGTTCATCTGAGCACCAGACACCTGGTGGGTGAAAGCTCCTTCGGCTGGAGAAAAAAGACCCCCCCCCCCCCCCCACAGACACACTTCCCCACACCCTCACCAAGCTCACTCTGGATTACAGACCTCAGGCGTCCCACGCCATGCTCCACACAAAGCAGCCCCGCAGCACGCTCACCCAGGAACACACCCCTGCAAGCAACCCCCATTGCCAACTCTGCCACACAGCTACGCTAGCAACACCATCCCAGGGCCTAACCACAAAGGCCACCACACCAGAGGCTCATACAGGGGCACGTCCTCCAATGGGATCTACGCCATCAAGTGCCAGCCATGCCCCCTGCCACGCGCACTCGCCAAACCGGACAGTCTCTGCACCAAAGGATTAATGGACACAGATCAGATATTCCAAAAGGTAACACACGGACGCCTGCTGGGAACATTGTAGCCGGCCCAGGCACTCACTAACAGAGCTAAAAGTGACAGTATCATTACCAGGCAATCGCAAAACCTCGCTGGAGAGAGAAGCTGCAGAACTTGATTTCATTCACAAGTTTGACACCTGCAACAGACATTTAAACTAGGGATGTGAAATATCGCTTAAATGCATAGTGAGTAACTTCCTGAATTCTTATTGGTGACTCGACTACTCCACAGTGCCCGGGGGTGGGCCCTGGCCCCACCCCCAGGGAGCCCCCTGCCCCTCTGCCGCAGAGGCTGCAGCGCGGGGGCCAGGCGGGGGCCGGTCCCGGGGGGGGGCCAGCTTTCAAACCCTCCCTCACAGTGACGCACACACACGGATGGACACGCAGGCCTGGCTCTCCCACCGGGAAGGGCCAGGACCATGTCAGTCAGCAACAGCCTCTCATGACCCCCCACAACCAGGGAGAGGAGGGCCGGAGCCTCTCGATTTCCCCTCCGCCTCTTGCACCTGCCCCCACCCCAGGTCACAGCTCTGGACTTCCGGCCTCCCCCGAGGGTGACACTCACCCGTTAACCGTTCACACCCTGCGCGGACACCCCCAAACACTGTCTGCTCCCCACCCTGCACACACACACGCACTGTGTGTGTCAACATGTCAGCGTGAGTGAGTGTCACACAGTGACAGACTGACTGACACCC